TCTGCTCAAAACACATAGCTTGCTATTATGCACACATGCACACAGTCTGCCAGCTTCCTCCTGCTTTTCAGCGCCTTGAGACGTTCTCCTGACGTGAAAGGCGCTATACAAATGTAATCTTGTTGTTGTTGTTGTTGTTTCCAGCTAAGACTCTTCTTCCGATTAGAGCTTTAGCCTGCAGGGTTAATCGAGACTGAGTGGGGACACTCACAGGGACTCACAGGGACAATGATTCTGCCCCTCCAAATTAGAATTTGTCTCTCTGACCTAAACTAACTGATCCATCATCATCAGTTCCCAGGAGTGCTGCAAACTTCTCCGCCTTCTTCTACCTCTGCCACATTGCCTACCTCTGACTGAACCATACCCCAAATGCAACCCTCATGCATGTGTTTGTCACCTCCGGCCTGGATTACTCAAACGCACTCCTGGCTGGTTTCCCCAGCTCCACTATTCAAAAAATCCAGCTCATTCAGAACACTGCCACCTGCATACTTACCCGGACCAAACTCCGTACCCATATCTCACCAGTTCTGGCCAGGCTCTACTGGCTCCCCATCACCAAACTGATCGACTTCAAGATCCTCAAACTCGTATTCAAATCCATTCAATCCCGGGCACCTCCCTATCTCTCTGACTTTCTCACTCCCCAATCCACCACCTGGCACCTCCGCTGGACTGGCACCGGCCTCCTGCTCATTCCTCGCACCCTCCGTTCCACCATCGGAGGTCGCACCTTTAGCCACAACGCCCCAAAACTCTGGAACACTCTTCCTCCATCCCTCCGCCTTGCCCCTCTCTCCCCTTTTTCAAGTCCCGCCTTTCAACTATGCTTACGGTCACCTCCCCTCCCCACTGGCTCGGAGTCAGGCTCCGCCACTGTTAAGCGCTCTGAGATGCTACCCTGCGTGGATGGCGCTATATAAGTGCAAGCTGTTGTTGTTGTTGTTGAACCCGCCTGGCTCAAGAACCAGACTACCAACACGACCACAAAAGATTGATTCAATTCTGATATTCCATTCCCAAGCAACCTTGGAGCCAGCTCTGCTCCAAGGGGACCCCACTTACTCCCCCCCCCCCCCCCCCCCCCCACCCCACCCCGGAGGCTAAACTGGTAGAATTAAGCTGCCAAATCAAATTGATATTTAACTGAAAATGTTTAATACGCACTCTCTCCCTGGATGACCTCTCTATAAAGTGATGAATGCAATTATTGTCTTCAGCCTGAAAACAGTGAATTGAGTTTCTTCTGCACTGGTTCAGTCATCTGTATGAATGTACAAACATCTGCCGATTTATAGTCTTGTGCTTTCTCTCTCCCTTTCTATTTTTCGCTACATCCAACACATCATCCTATGTTTAGGGCTCTATATACATACATGTCCTAGTTTACTTGTACTTTCTCCCATACGTGTACTTGCTCCCATTTATTTCAGTATTATCTTCTCCTGAAGATCACTCACACCAATCATTGGACGTCACTGAAGACTATATTAAAGGATAGGAGCTTGTTACCATAAATCCAGTGATAAACACTTGCCCAACAGTTTCTATGCTGCTAAGAAATCCATCATGGATTTGAGAAAATGAGCCACTGTATCTTTGCACAGGTATGACATGGAGATGCACTGTGCAAAGTTAATATTCTACTTGTGAGCAGAGTTGGTTCATTCGTATTCTGAAATGGTCCAGATTAGATCAATCTCTGGAATACTGAATAAACCTAAAATACACATCTGTCATTTGAGATTTACAAGTTGTTTTGGTGCTGAACCCAGTAAATCAGGTTACCTGATGGTTCATTTTGTTTTATACAACATTGAAAAATAAAATACTCTTTCAGCTCATGCAGAATCCATCTAATACAAATCAGAAAAGCTCACAGGAACTGTATTCTTTATTTTATAAAGCCTTAGCTTTAGAACTGGTTTCAGTAATTGAGATAAATCCCATTCTACTTTATATATCTAGATGGATCGACAAGATACCTGTCTCCCCATTGCTTATTGTCTGAGGAGTAAGACATGGAACTTATTAAGGGATGTGCCTTATGATGATTACATCACAAGTTTAAAATAAATACTGGGTTGAATAAGTGTTTAATTACGTTCTGGTACAAAAGGGTACATAAAGAACAATTGTTTTTCTAAACAGTACATTTTTGGGAGCAGGTAAGAAAAAAAAGGTATGTCTGATGTTATTGTAGTTTCTCCTGGGGACCAGCTAACAATCTCCCAAATAAAATTAGTCACTCACTTCATAGCAGTTTGTGGGATGTGCTGTATGCCAATTATCCCTCGCATTTTGCTTACCAACTACAGTACAGAGTCACTTACTTTACAATGTATCCTGTGAAGAGTTTGAGACAAACTCCTGAAGTGACAGGAACTATACAAAACGTAAGAATTGTTTTTATAAATAAACAACATAATAATAATAAATGGCCCAGTACCCGTTATCACCAGTTACAACCATTCTGTACTCTGGACTATAGATTTAGATAATAATAATAATAATCCTTGCATTTGATATAGCGCTTTTCACGTCTTTTCAACCTCTCAAAGCGCTTCACAGAATAGACTGTAAAGTGAATTGACTGTATATTTGTGGGCGAAATGTGGCAGCCAATTGCGCACAGCAGTGTCTCACAAACAGTCGTGGATTGAAATGACCAATTTATTATTGTTTTTTGAGGGATTATTATCCCTCAAATAATCTAAAATCTAAAACATTACCAATTCATTTGTTATTTGGTATGTGCTATCCAGTTTTCAAGGCGAAAAGTCAACTTTCCAGGATGATCTTAACATCTATTATCAGTAACACAATGGGATCTGAGGGCAAAATTCCTTGTGTTCAAGATCATGAACGCTGATAGTACCAGCTGATTAGTTTACACCTATGTTTAGAAAAGTCATTTAAATCACCTATGTGTTCCTTTATCTTTCAGTTACAGCATAAATAATGTTGATCCAGAAATAAATTAAAAGTCCTTGTGGAGTCCTGTAGCTTAATGCTTAGAGCACTCGCCTTGCAAGCGAGAGGACCTGGGTTCGATTCCCGGCAGGGTGAAACTTTGGGCAAGTTTCCTTACACCACACACCTCTGTTTACCTAGCAGTAAGTAGAACCCGGTTAATTAGTCGATTGGCGGATCGTTTTTCTGAGGATAATAATCTCTTCAAAAATAAAATAAATAATAATAATTTAGTCACTGCTGTGTGCAATTGGCTGCCACGTTTCGCCCACAAAATATATAGTCAATTCACTTTACCGTATATTCTGTGAAGCACTTTGAGACATCTCGAAGATGTGATAAGGCACTATATCAAATGCAAGGACTATTGTTATTATTAAAAGACCAATATGTAGAATCCCCAGATTATGCTTCCGTTGACAATACACTCAGATGATTCATATTTGAGTCTTACTATATTTTTGCAGAAATATTGTTACCTGACTCTCTGATTTGGATTGTTTGCAAAGTTTAACAATTAAAGCCTTGATGTAGTTCTGTTACATTACTAACCATACATTTTGAAGATCTTTGATCTTCATAAATATAGCTGTGCAACAAAACTGAAATGCCCCAGTGTTTGTCATAATAATGCTTATCTGCATTGATACAGTTACAACAGTCCAATCTTCAATACTGTCTATGTGTTAATTGGCAGAATTAGCCAGACATTGATCTCTACACTATAAATGACTAGACTGGTGCTGTCAATATGCAGCAATGGTAATAATGATAAAATAACCAATATTTAAGTGACGACAGTAAGTGTTTAAATTATTCTGATGACTGTCTATTTTAGATGTTGCCGTCTGTCAAAATACAAGATGTTGGTATGCAGAGGTCTCATTTCACAGTATGACAGTCTGATTTGCAAAGTGAGACTGCTGGAATGAAGGACTATTATTCTCCATAAATGTTTAATAAGACCATGCGTAGGAAGATAGGAATGTTCTTGTATTATAATAAAACTGTGGACTGGAAATTCTACCTGGGTCTAGATTGACTCTATTGAGAATATTTGGCAAATTCTTAAATGACAGGCTTAATTTGAAACCAGTTTTCTTTAAGTTCTTAAGCAATACAGAAAATCAGCTTCAAAGGTAAGGCTGAATTAACCAAAGTCTGGTGCTCTGAAATGCTGTGTTAATAATAAAAGTAATAATAACCCTTGCATTTGATATAGCGTCTTATCACGTATTCGAGACATCTTCACAGAATATATTGTAAAGTGAATTGACTGTATTTGTGGGCGAAATAACATAATAGAGTCAATCCACACCCAGGTAGAATTTTACCACATATCTTCTGATGTCTCAGGTTTACGTGACATTTCCAGAGTATGCACTGGTTTTGAAGAGCTGAGCATTTTACTTCAAAATCTACAGCATAATCAATCAACACTCACAGAGGAATCATTGCTTCACTTCAATTACAAAGAAGGAAATGAATAGTAAACCCGGAACCTCAATACATTTCAACATCAGCAACCATTTCTAGGCTACACATTGGCTGTTGTGTCTGAAGTAAATTGCACAATTCTTTTCATATGCTTGTCACAATAACAAACTTCCATTGTTCCGAGGCGATTGCTCAGCTTTGTTCCAGTTTAGAAAATACAATCCTTTATACAACAGATGTGTTTTATACTCATTGGAATTGTCTACTACATTGGAATAATTTCATTACACTTTCAATGATTCAAGTTTAAAACACAGTTTCCTATGATCATCCTTCCATCTGACATTCCACACTAAAGATGCTTCATTCCTGCTAAAACAAGCAGGAGATTTCAGTTTTTGCTCAAAACTTTAATTTGTCTAATATTTTGAACAGTGGGAATAGAAATTGCATTAACTGCTGAATAAAGTGTTTCTTTTTGATTTATAACCTAAATGCTAACAAGACCCTTTTTCTTTTCTTACTGTGTAAAATAATCCAAAACATAGTTAAATAACCACACATGGCTTAAACTGGCCTTTGCTCACCTTTCAATGCATGTTGCTGGTAGCCCAGCTAAGCCTTTGCACATTTTGCCAGCTGCTACTCCTCTGGTTTGTAGACACAAATCAAAGTCTGTAAACTTCAGCTCCTTCTGCAGTCCCCCTGTTCTGCAGTGGGATTATATACAGACTTTGCTGGATTGGCGCCAGCCTGTCAGCCAATTAAATTATTCAAAAATAATTACAGTCCAGGGAACACATCTATGCCTCACTGTAAAGAAGAGCTGCAGACCACAGCCTCCAGCAGCCAAAATGAAAAGGTCAGTCAGTGGCAGAAAAATCATCTTTGCAAATATCACTTTCCATTCAAGATCAACCTTTCTAGCTCTTCCTAAACCTGTGTTTAGGATAAAATCTGGTTAGCCAAAATGGGGATTTCATTTTATGAAAGTGATCTTCAGCAGAGATTTACTGTTATTTAATAACAATAATAATAATACTTGCATTTGATACAGTGCCTTATCATATTGTTGAGACATCTCAAAGCGCTTCACATGAATGTACCATAAAGTGCATTGGCTGTGTATTTTGTGGGCACAACAATGTCCCACAAACAGCCATGGAGTGAGTGACCAATTTTATTTGGGGGATGTGTTGACACTGGGAGAAACGTCTCTTTTCGAATATAATGGTCTCAAGTACTGGCTCTTCAGTACTTTGAAAGTTTTCAGAATAAGCTCCTGCATTATTAATAGTAAATAGTAGTGATGAAGAAATTCACAAAGACTTGCAAAAGATACAGCTGGTAATCTTTTTAAAAAAAGATTAAACCTCACTATCTCTAGGTAACCCTGGAGAAACCAACATCTTCACAGCACGTTGCTTTCTAATCCTAAAGCAATATAGCCAGAGACAATGTAATAGGAGGAGTAACTGTCCGTGAACAGAACAGTGATACAAAAGAATAATAAGTTGAAGAACAATGTTTTCTAGTGGTTAATACACTAAGTCTTAGACAATGGAGTTTTGTTTATTATCGTGTAGTTTACAAGTGATAAATGATAAATTGCTTGTTTCATCTTTTTCGTGGAGTGTAGAGGGAAATGCTGGGTTACATCATTGAATCTTGTACTCTGTTATTGTACACAAAACTATCTAGCATGGTAATAATAAATAATAATAACCCTTGCATTTGGTATAGCACCTTATCCTCAAAATGTCTCAAGGATTTACTATAGATTGACTGATTGTGGATTTTGTAGGCAAATGCGGCAGCCAATTTGTGCCCACAAATGCCCCACAAACAGTTGTGCAGTGAATGACTAATTTTATTGTCTTGAAGTGGGTGGAGGTGGAGGCAGGGTAGACAAGAATTTAGCCTCAGTGTGAGACCTACAGTTGACCCTATGACTTTCTGGTTTGGGTTCAGTTCTGTCTGTCACAACTGTAGATCTGCCAGGCCACCCAAAAGTTATGGTTAGTATTAAAAATGTAATTTTGATTAACCTTGAGATTTGCACGTTTATATACAGTGACGCCCTGTTGTAAGAACATCCTGTTTTCCCAAGAAAATTGGTTCTAGAAACAGGGTGTTTATCCAACAAGACATTACTGTTAAATAAGGTTATTTCACAGTGGACCTTTAAAATGACAGAGTTAAACACAATTAATTTGAAGATGCTTTAAAACAGTGGTCAAAAACAATATGTTATATACCAACGTAAGAAACCATCCAACGAGAAAATGTATTTCTTCCCAACAACCTGGCTCCCTGAAAAACAATGGCTAATCCAGACCCTCAGCCACTCTGTCTCCTGGGGATTTTGTATTATTGGTGTTCCTTGATCCACAAAGGGAGTCAAACTAAAACTCCCAGAACATTCCTCCACTGCACAACTCCGCTGTTCAATTCTGGCCCATTAACACAACAATAACAACAAAATTACATTTATAGAGCGCCTTTCACATTGGTAGGACGTCCCAAAGCGCTGAACAGTCAGGTGTCGGGGCCGAGCATGGGGGAGATGGGGGGTTGTAGGGGTGAGGGAAGGCAGAGAGGTGGGAGGGAGACAAAAGGCACGGTCGAAGAGAAAGGTCTTGAGACTGACCTTAGAAACTAATGTGCTGTTCTGTTGCTTGTGCCCTCTTGTTCTGCTGTTCTGGGCTCACAATCTCAGTCAAACAGTTTGCTGACATCAATATGCCTCTCAACATTTTAAAGACCTGAATCATATTCTACTGCAGTCTTTTTTCCTAATGAATGCGAGTTCAGCTGCATTGAGTCGTTTTGGTTTTAATCAATAAAGATCCAAATTCAAAGTGCCTAACTCATTTTCTGAGCATTGTAGATCATAGAAAGGATCAATAATAAGCAAGCCATGTTCGTATTTGAACAGCCTAATAAATAATAATAAAGAGTATGTCCTTGGCTATTAGTACCACATTCACTAGGCATGTCTGCAAGAGGGAATTCATATCACATTCACACTACTGCTGCTCAAAAATGTTTCCTTTCTAATCCTTAATACAGATAATTGGGCAGAGTTAGCAAAATGCACAATGAATCCCTACATTCAGTAACTTGGATCTAAACTGTATTATGAACCAATAGTTTCAAAAAAAAGGAGCGTGCCCGATATTTGCCAATTCTCTATCAAATCAACAGAATAAAAAGGCTGGATTATTCATAGGTTGGCAAGGTGACTCACCCAACCATCAAGGAAGAGAATTCAGTGGAGTGTTGGATACCAGGGAGCAATTACATGAAAAGACTCAGACAGTGTAAGTAGCAAGAGCAAAATGTGATCAATATAACCTTTATCTAAATGGCCAGTAAAGATCACAACCTTTACTTCACTCCCACATATTTGTGAGTTTTTCATGGAGTATATTGTAAAGATTAAGAGGACAGGTTTTGTGGCCTGTAATAAGCAAAACTGTGCATGCGACAGCCGTTCTGCTCTGTGTAGTCCATATGTCATTGATGTCCACAATGAAGGTGTCAGGCCATGTTTATTAACTGATGGTTGTTTGCCATTAAAGATTTTACTAGATGTTCCCTAAGTAACTTATCACATCAATTAGTAGAAGATGGCTTGGGTCTGAGAGTGCATGCAGTGCCTCAACTCAGTCAAGCCTCAGTTTTATAAGCATGAGACATCCTAAACAATCCCTGAAAGAAAACGTTTTGTTCAACTCACGTCACGTTTATATAAGCATGATGGATAAATTATCTTTTAATGTTTGTTATCTTTTCCATATGTTTAAATTAGGCAGATCAACATAGTTTGCTTACTTATTGAAACTGACATATTTCTGTTTTGGTACTGACTCCGCTTGATGTATCTTGTTCAGTTTCAGTAAGTTGTAGAAAAGCAAACAAAATCTGGTGAACTGTTGCTCAGTACTTATATAATCTTGTGAGTACTAAAGGTTGTTTCTGATAAAGTCAAGTCTTTAAAGCTTTAACACATCCTAGCACTATTTTTTTTAAAAAACGGAGTGATAAGTGAAACTTGTAGGTCAGTCTGAGCATGATCATTCTGATTGTTATCAGCATAATAAATGATGTTGTTTGTCGTTCTCAGCTCTGCTGATAAACATCGTAAAGCTGCTCTCGCAAGAAGTGGTTTCTGCATTGCGTGTCCCAACACTTTCTACTGCACTGGCAGCTCTGTGATTATTTTAGAGAAAGGTCACTTTATGAGGTTGGTTTGGAGTTAAACCAAAGTCACGGTCAAAGAAGAAGGTCTTGAGATAGGCCTTGGAGGAGGCAAGGAAGGGGGTGAGACGGAGGGGTTCCAGTGGAGTTCCAGAGGGTTGGGGGGCAGAAAGACTGAAGGCTCAACTGCAGATGGTGGAGTGGGCAGGCAGCATGGAGTAGACAAGTGCCCACCAAGTGGAGAGGTTGGTAACATTTTAGTAGATCACGGAGGTAGGGAGGAGGAAAACTGTAGAGGACAAGGATAATCTGCATCTTGTGGAGGGAAGAATTGGGAAGTCCGGCAAGCAGGGAGTTAGCATAGTCAAGCCCGGACTTAATGAAAGCATGGATGAGGATCTCGGCAGCTTGAGAACATAATGCAATGAAACTGCGTAAATCCAACCATCTCTCCCAGAAATGTTTTCAATTTGCTTATAGCAGACGACAAAATGTAGTTCAGCTAGGGATTAGGTGTGATTAGCGAAGTTATAAACCGTATCAAAGCATTCAGAATAAATGATGCCTTCAGCTTGCATTGTTTGAGTTCATGTGGGAATTGAAACCACAGCTTAGCTGGCTGTGCTTTTAACAGTCCCATCAAGCATGCCTCTGTTCATCTGAATGAGATTCTGAATATCAGATTTTATTTCTGGGAGGAGGGAAGGTGGGTGGAAAATATATTTCAATCTAAGTTTATATAACAAATGAGCCAAAGGGCCTTCTTCTTCCATACCTCTCTTGTGGCATTGTAAAAATACCATTCAACCTATTTAAATACCCTTCTTCCACAGACCTTATCCATTTCATGGAATCTACCCCTCCATTTACTTAATCACTGAGGGAAACCGCAGTATTAATAATTAATGAGATGTTAACCGAGATCTTGTCTGCTTGTTCAGGTGGACGTTAAAGATAATAATAATAACAATAATAATCCTTGCATTTGATATAACGCTTTATCACGTCATCGAGGCGCCTCAAAGCAATTCATAGGATACATTATAAAGTGGATTGACTGTGTATTTTGTGGGTGAAACACAACAGCCAGTTTGCGCACAGCAGCGTCCCACAAACAGCGATGGAACGAACTGCATATACAACATATAAAACAACAAAATATGTGCTCCAATTTGGCCAGCGTTATGAAAAATATTTATTGGTAGTAATTAATATGAAAACAATTCTGACTTGGCTGAATGTATTGCAGGTTGAGCGTGCAAGATTCAGATAACAGCTTTATTAACTTTCATTGAACAAAACTTCTGAACAAACAACAAATTTAGATAACATACTATGATGCCGAACAGCCTCTTACCCTCAACTGTTCCCCACCCTTGCTCACAATAGATTGGCTCTGTATTTGGATTTTTATTGTAAGTGATGTCAACAATGTTAGATCCATTGGCACTG